ACTCTACTGCAACAAACTCTGAGCACGCAATGGCTTTTCCAGCCCAAGTTCCAAACACTTCCACAGTCCTCCTCGAAACACAAAGGTCAGGTCTATCACAGCAATATCCCACTCTCTGGTACCAATTACTGTCTTAACTGCTTGAAGACATGAGTACTCAGCTTTCTACTCTGATTGCCTCCTGCTATGGCTCCCTGGCATGATGGACTCTTTTATCCCTTTGGAACCATATGCCAAATAAACTTCCTTCTATAAGTTCTTTGGTCATGATGTTTTGTCATAGCAACAGAAAAGTAACTAATACACCTTCCTTAAGGTGTTTCTGTTGGGCACTTTGTCACAGTGATGAGCATACGACCCCTGTAAGCAGACAGCTCACATGTGTGCACAGATTAGTTTCTTGGTGTGTTCCAGTGTCTCTTCTATTGCTCCATCCACTTCATGCCAGCCCTCCATCCAGACCCCTAGACTAATACAGCTAACATCGACACTTTGAAGATCCACATACAAGTTTACTAAGTCCAAAGGATTAGTCTTGTATTATACTTTCTGTTCCCCCAATGAACAGAATTTTGTTTTTCTTCCAGCTATCCAGGGTTAATGGAATCATGCCACATAGCAATCTCTCATCCACCAATCTGGAGAGCTGTCATGGAATCTTCCCTCCCCGTCTATCATCCATTGAGGTCTGCCTTCACGGTTCATTCTGAGCATCTTCACGCTCCACTTTCCTGCTGTCTTCCCATTCAAGGCAATGTCACGGCATGTCTACATTGTTAGAAAATCCCCCTAACAAGTCTGATATACCTCTGCCCATCTCCATCCCTCCTTTCTCTGTAGCCATCCCGATGCTAATTGCTATCTGCGCAGATCTTCCTAAGAACCTCCTGGGACTGGATGACATGGTTTAAAACGTTCTGCCTGATCTCCAAGGTCAAGACTAAAGACCGTCAATGACCCCTGTCTGTCATCATCAATGGCACCTACCCACCACCACTGAGTCCTTGAACTTGGCTCTCTAGCTTTAAACCACTCTATTCCTCAAATCTGCCTAGACCTTTGCTTCCTGAGGAACTCTGTGTATACTCTTTTTTGGCCTTGACCTTTCCTTTTCTCACTGCCCCCCAACCCTTCACTACCTGCCAGACTCTCACATTTCTAGTCCTTTCTAAATGGTCTGTTTTTCCTTCGGGGACCTCCTAAACTCCCAAATTGTCAGGGATGTCCTATTAAATGGTCTGTTTTTCCTTTGGGGACCTCCTAAACTCCCAAATTGTCAGGGATGTCCTAATACCCAATTTTTCTCTTCAAGCATTTATTCAAACTTCAGTCATAGTAATCAGGTAGTTCATGATTCACTGCCATTCTCTCTCCTCTTTTCTCTCTCTCTCTCTCTCTCTCTCTCTCTCTCTCTCTCTATCGCTCTTGCTCTCGCTCTCTCAAGTTCCAAAAGAGCAGAATACTTCATATTTTCTTTATACCTGTATCTCCAAAGACTAAATTAAAGCCTAGCATGTAGTGCTATTTACATGACTGATAAGAAAATCTTAAATAGATGATCCAATGAAAAGGAAATGTGATTTCTCCAAATATTTTTTCTGTACCCATTTGCATGTGAACTATTCATGACTTCTGGTTTTCATGTACGTACAGATTAATGACATGGTCTTATCTGGGATGTTCCTTGCACTCAGCATTGGTAGGAATGTGATATGAAAGAAGTGCTAGAATAGTACTCTTTGCTCTCTTAACAAAGGCGTCTCTTTTCCCTATCGACATGTCCACATGTCCCTAGCGATATGAGGGCTAAAAAATCCTGATTCGGTCACTAACTGGCTCTGAACCCAAGACCGAATGATGCAATAACTCACTGTCCCAATACTTCTTCTATGGATCCTCTAGATCCTTTATTTTGAGATCCTGTTATGACAATGCTTTGTAAGAGCACAAAGAAAGCCTAAGACCTTCAACAGAGAAACTGCTACCTGTTCCACACAGATGGGAAAGGAGGCAAAAACTGCATGTGCTCTCACGGGCCATTCAAATACCGACCAGAACCCACAGATTCTCAATCTAAAATCTCACGCAAATAGCCCTGATGGTCTCCGCTTCCCTTTGAAGCTTCACAAACCAGGCCTCCATCGTCTACAACTGTTTCAGCATAACTGTTCCAAACTCTACTGCAACAAACTCTGAGCACGCAATGGCTTTTCCAGCCCAAGTTCCAAACACTTCCACAGTCCTCCCAAAAACAC